TTTTGCAGATTGATAAATTTTCCTTGTTCATAAGACTATAATAACGTGAGGCAAGAACTATTCCCTGTCTTCTTTTTTTGTATAAGATTATGTCTCAGAGACCAGTCCATGCATTCATGTAACCTCTTTCATGTGGCTCTATGGGATGCCATTACATAGATACCCCACACTTAAGTTCTGCAGGTCCCCAGGCCTGCTCCTTAGCGGTTTTGCACATTGTTTTCTGCAGTGTGCTGCGGTGGTTATCGCCTCCTAGCCATCACCACCATATCACGTGCAGACGTGGGCATGACAGAGACAGCTTAAGCATCATAACTGCAGGACCCTCAGGTTATTATTACACATTTTCTTCTATAATATATGTAGCATAGGGAAGGTTAAATCATGGACATTACAGAATAGAAATCTTCTATTCAGTCACTTTCTATTTTTGATTTCTTAGAAGATACCATAAAAGAGAAAAAGAATGGATTCCTTTATTTCTGTTGGATTGGTCCTACCTTATTGGGGGAGGGTGGGAAGAGGTTCGCCGGCATGCACGTGGTAGGAAAGGAGAGTAAAATTAACACAACACGGGGGAAGAAGGGGGAAAGGCATAGTAAAGAGTCCGATGTTGGGAGGAGAACTGTTGACATGCTGGTGTGTGTACGCAGGGCTCTGAAGGCACTTGAGAGTCTGGCTCTGAGCTTCTGGTAGCCAAAGGAGCAGGAAAGTGATGCTGATGCTAGAATTCATGGGTTTGACAGGGAAAAGCACCCCCACCATTTGGGGGAAGTCCTAGCTTTCCCCACAGCTCGTTCTGAAAGACTCTCATGGGGGCCTTTCTGGAGTGGGGTGAGCAGGGCATGGCTTCTGGGTGTGGCTGTTCAGACTTCCTTGTGGCCCTTAACCTGGTTACTGCCACGGCCAAGATCTCATCAAACAGATGATGATTTCCCAGCGATAATGGAGCATGGCCTAAATCTTCTGACCTAGGACTTGCCAAGGGATGTCAATGACTGCCTGAAACCTGTGAGAGCCCCAGGGGCATGAGCCTCACTGGATGGACATGCGTCCCTGTGGCCCTACCAGGGGATGTGCTGTCAAATCTACCCTGAGTTACTAAAAAACTAACATGTCACAAATATAGTTCCATTAAGTAAAGTTAAATCTAAAGAAATTTTGCTCTGAAGCTGGTTTTCAAGTTTTCTGTTTTCATCACCTGATTGCCACTAGTCAACATAATTAAGGTTATAACAGGATTCCTGGAAAAATACCTACTAAGCCAGCATCGGGGAGTCCAACACCGCCTGCATGTTGTGTGTGGTGAAGTAGAAGCAACATCTCTCTGTCCCGCCCCCTTCCCTGTGGATTCCCCCAAGATTTCTGGTTTGACTTAACCTCACAAAACACCGTTAAATCAGCAGTTATCCTAACTGATGGGGGAGGAAAGAGATGTGAATAACTGCTCTCTTAGCTTCAGAATGTGGTAATTGATTTAGGAGCAAAAGCACCCTTTTCCCTTCCTGGGGTTACTGAGAAGTGCCCCTTTTCTGCCATGTTTAAAGGGAAGGCTGGAGACAGCCGAGGTAGGTTCCAGATGCTGGGGAGAGCCGGCTGGAGATGAAGGGCACTATGTGGATCAACTCAGGTCAGCCAGATTGTAAAGCTGAACACTTGATTTGCTTAATATCTCTTGCTCATTCTGCAGGCGAGTGGTGTCAGCTTTCCCAGGCTAACACTGCTTTCTCAGGACTGCCTTTGTAGAGATCATTGACTTCTGAAATTTTAGGGACTATGTATCACAATTTCAATTTTTGCTAACGTATACAAAGGAAGAAGCAATTGCAAATGTCTGTGTTTATGTTTACTTTGGCAAAACCAATGTTTTTAAAACATCATTAGTCTTATTTTCAAACTTAGTTTCTCTGAAAGATCCCTGAATGGTCAAAGGTGGGTGTTACTAAATTTATAGAAACGAACTCCATCCGTAGACATTCCAAATACAGGCTTCCTGGCACAGAAAATAATTTTCTACAGCCTTTTCTCCCTCCTGTTTTATTTCAGTGTTAGGATTTTGTGGGTTAGTTGGTAATTCTCTCCCATATGTCTGCATGCTGGCAAGTAACAAAAACATTGATCATTAGCTGGAAAACACAAATTGCAGCCCATGCTTAGTTGTATTTTTTTTAATGATCCATTGATATTTAGGGTTGATTTACTGTTGCATATACTTAATATGGTAGCCATTTCTACTGGGTAAATTGCCACAACTTCCTATGATCACATATATACTTCATGGTATTTCACATACGTAGTGGTGGTTCCAAAGTCTTGGTGACTTAAAATCGCAGGTGAATTAGAAAGTTCCGTATCTCTGGGTGTCTGTGTGTGACCAGGAATTAAGATATTCCTAGTGAAGGCAGGATTCTTTTCTGAAACAGTTAAATTTGTGGGAAAAAATTAACTTTGAAGAAATCCTTTATAAAGGTGTTAATTATTCTGTTATTTAATCTTCTGTTGTGGTCTGATGAATTCTGTAATTGGAATGGATTGAAAGTGGAGGCTTTCAATTTCATAATGCTTTTCCTATTCCCGGGACCTGCTGTCCCGGATATTGGTTATATTATAAAAGTGCAGAATTGGAGGTTGTGTGTGAATTGAGTTTGCTGAGCTAACAAGAACTTCTTTGGTTATGAGAAATACAGAGAAGTTTAAGGTTGGGGTATAGAGAGCGTTTAAGAGTCATTACCTTTTCCAGCGGAAGATTAGCGTTCAGAGAAGTACAGTGTCAGGGGAACGTCACCATTCATGGGTATACCAGGTATTTGTCACCTGTAAGGAGGCTCCCTGGAAACTGCGTCCACTTTATTATTTTCTTTTTAAAGCATATACTTCACCTAACATTTGGGTTTTTCTCATCCTTTACATAAAGTTAAATACATACAGACCCTTGGATAATAAGTAGCCTTGGTTCCTTAGTGTTTCCTATTCCTCATCCAAAGCCCAGGGTTGACTGCATCTGTAAACCTGTCTTTGGCAGGCAAGAAAAAGGAATCTCAAAATAGTTCAGTTTGTCCTGTTTTTATTCATGATTTCATAAAAACCATCAGACTGATGATTATTTGTATCCCTATGTAATCTCATCGAGAACCCTCTGTGGAACTGGAGTAGCAGGAGGAAGTTCTAGAATTGTAAATCACACCTGAGTAGCTTCCCTGCAGCATTGGCATGCCTTACTACTGTCTCTGTGTGATGGTGACTGTAGAAACACTTTCTGTTGGGAGAAAGTGAAAATATAGTATGTGCTCCTAATGAGTCCTTTATTTGAGTACTTCTCACTAGGGGGTTTATGCCACCAAAAAAAAATGTATGTAGAACATTTATTTTTGGCAGCTTTCACAAAAATTGTAAAGATGGCTGCCTATGAAAATTCTCTTGTGTGTCAATAGAGACTGGACCCCAGAAACTCTTCGGAAATAATATATTCGCAGTTAAATTTAGCTTTGATTTAAAATGCAGTTTTGTATAGTTTTAAAATGCAAAATTTTAAAATTTTAAAATTTTAAATTTGATGCTGGAAGTCTTAATGGGTATACATGTCAGTACCATGAAATTTACTTCAATCTATGGTGTCAATCTAAGGCTGATGCAGGTTAAGTAAGGGAAATGTGACCCCATTTTAAGATAATCTAATATAAGAACAAAGTATACAGAACTGTGTTTGGTGCTATTATTACTAGTTATAAAATAATGATGTTATTCTTTATTAAGCTTTGTTTGCAATTATATTCCTCCATAAAGTATGTTATTCCAAGTTGGCAATTAAAGACTACTAAAGAAATGGTATCCTTTTATATTTTTCCCTTCTTACACAGAACCACAATCAAGCAGTTTTCCTAAATGTATGATCCAGGACATAATTTGCCATTTATTCTTTCATTCATTTTCAGCTTTTTTGTTTAGATTGTATCGGTTATGTTTCATTATTCTAACAAAAATGTCCACCTCAGGATATGGTGAGAGCTTTTAAAGTTAACAACAATAAAAGCAAAACCTAATTTGTTACTAAAACAAACAACAAGGGAAAAAAAATACAGAGCCACCATTTTTGATCAGAAGTTTAAATCGTTGCTTTCATTCAATCAAATTGGTCTTCGGATTTTTTTCCTTCTGATAATTCCCCAAAGAAGGCTCTATCCGCCCAATTTTAAATTATGCAAATCAGTGAAGAAAGTGAGAATTCAGGTGAATATGGAGTGCTTTAGAGGGGGAAGAAAGGCATGTGTCCAAAAGAGAAGGCTCTGGGTCATATTTGGGGCCCTGGGCCTGCTGGACCCTGCCCATGCTCAGCAGTGTCTCAGGTTTCCCCCTGGCACTGTCATTAAGCTGGGTTATTTATGTATCTTCAAGTGAAATGGGCAAGCTTCACGGTAACTCTTGTTGCTATTGACAAACAAAGCAACCATGCAAGAAGAGAAGGCTGTGGAAGGAAAGAGAAAACGTCAATATTTCCTCCCCAAATCTGGAGAGATCAGGGGACATACAGTGTGTGAGAAACAGGTAAGTAAAGATGTGTCCATTGAGAAACTACCAGCCTTGGTTAAAGTTGATCAAAAATTTTGATGTTTTCCAGATATTTTACCCAACACTCATTTAATTAAAGGATACTGTCTCTTTGACCCTAAAATTACTGTTCTGAGAATGAAAATTTGCACTGGAAGCCACTGTGTCACCTAAGGTCTGAAATGTTTTAATTTAGAATTTGGACTATGAAAGACTAGCACCACTTCAATTATTGGTTAATATTTTTGTTACAAAATGTTCTGTAATGGCAAAATGGTGACTAAAATATTACTATTTTAAACATGTCCTAGAATTTTTTTTTTTTGTTTCAGAAAAGCACTGAAAGTTGAATATGTGTAAGTCTCCCGGAATGTAACAAGTTGATAAATACCCAAGTCCAGCCTCCTTACAGAGAAAAGATCTGGAATTTCTTTTTTTGGACATTTGTTTTGCAGCTTTCTACGTCTTAAGGCAGAGAATAGCCAGGATAAGGTGCCAACTCAAAGGTTAGATGAACATATTTCTTGAAATAATTTTGGCTAATCTATATGTCTTGGAAGGCATAACTTACAAAACTATCAGTAAAATGTAACTTTAGTTGTGATTTTGAATTGTTCTCTTGGGGAAAAATTACATTCCTTAGATTTGTGTTTATTGTGTTCATACCTGTATTTCAGTTACTACATTAAACTTTTCCCTTTCAGTTTATAATTGCTTTCTCCTGTGTTATGAATCTAATAAATTGACCTTCATTCTAACCTAAAGGAGAGTTTATATTTTTAATACTTAAAGAAGCCAATAAAAAAAAGCAAAGTCCATCAATGAAATTACTAACACCAGCCTATCATTAACCTGAGGGAATTAGATCTCATTTTCATTAATTCTCCATGGAAAAACTCAGGTAAGACATTTTTATTATATAAAATATGTAAGCTCGTATAGTAGCAGTTGTGCGTGTTCATGCCATTGTTTTGATACATAAAGCATTTCTGGTCTAAGATATTTCTGCAAAGTGAAAAATATCACTTAGTCAATCACCATCATGGCACATCAGTGACAAATTGAGGTGAAATTTTCTTTGGTGGAGTTGGTGCCAAAAAGACAGTGGACATTGAACTGACAGATAATTAGCACACGTCATAGGGCATGTTTTTGAGGGGAGACTTTAACTCTAAAAACATTTGGGAAAATAACAATGCTATTCGGGAACAAAGTTGACAGTGCTGGAAAGAAAAGTGATGGGATTTTATTCGTGGAAGAGAACATACCTCATAATGACTGCAGTCACAGGATTAGCTGGCAGGGCTGGGTCGAGGACAGGGTGCCCGGGTGGAGGAGAGGAGGGACTGGGCTATGTCAAAGAGAGACCTGGGTTCTGCACGGCTCCCCTGACTTCCCAGTATGAGACACTCACATTACCTGGGCCTTTCTGAGCTACAGTTTCCTGATCTACAACCCTGCTTGACAAGAGGGTGCTGGGGTTGTTGAGTCGCTGGTGGAGAGCAGCCTGAGAGATGTCCGCTCCGTGTGTGTGTGTGTGTGGTCCATGTATGTGCCCGACACCCCTGACCCCACCGCCGGGGGCTGTCAGCGTGGCGAGGCTAATTGTGTTTTCAAATCCATTTTGTTGAGCGTGACCATCCTTGCGAAATGACCAATGACTAGAAAACATCTCTGATTATTTCTAAAGTAGAATCGTTCCTTAGCTGATGCGCCTCTGAGGCGTCCTGTGCTATTCCTCTGATATTTGTTTGTAGCCCTCAGAGTGGAGCAGAGCTTGGGTTATCTCACCAGAGGCCAGGGAGCTCACGCACAGAGGTGGAGCTGTGGAATCACCCGTAGAGTCACAGGGCGGCCGCTTGGCGCACGTTTGTTTGAGACAACATGGCATTTGGACTTGCTGTAACTTGACAAACGTTTGAGCTCTTACTGGGGGCAAGGACTGCATTGGGTGCTGAGAGAGATGCGAAGACGAGCAAAACAGGCTTGCTTGCGAGGAGCTGATTTGGTAGGGGTGGTACTCCTGCCACATTCTGAAGTAGCCGAGATTTGGGGCAAAGAGTTGAGGCTGTGGAGAACAGGAAGAGGAAGAGGTCGTGGACTCACTTGATTCCATCACTCAGCAGATGGGTAAGAAGCCTCCCCCGGCCTCGGCCCGGCCAGCACACCAGTCAGACCGCGATCTCCCCTCGACCTCATTTGCTGTGGGTGTCGAAGGCCGCAGCTGACATTGAGCGCGCGATGGTGTGCTCTGCTGCTGGACACACGGCATCTCTCCAGGCAGTGCCCCAGACCTGGACTGGTGTCCTGGGGGCCCAGCCACGTCCCAGGGACGTGGAGGGGAGGGCACCCTGGTCAGACAGGAAAAGGCATCAGAGCTGCAGAAGCCTCAGTGCGTGGCCCATTCCAGGAAATGGGAGACCCTCCCTGGCATCAGGGCCTCTGCTTGAGGGCACCGGGGGTGGGCCAGGACACCCGGGCTCCCACTGTAGAGAGCCTGGGGAGGAACGCTGTAGTTCAAGCAGCGATGACATAATCCGATTGATATTTTGAGGGTGTGGGCTGGTGCTCGTGGCTCACATCCAGCACACAGGTGGATTTGGTCTGGCTCCCAGAGGGTTTCGTAGTTTTTGAGAGTTGCCAGTGCTCCGTAGGAAACGTGGCTCATGCATGCTGTCAAGCAGCTGGCACTCGGGCACTTGTGCATTGCCGTGGCCCCTCGGGCTGTGCTGCTCGGCAGCGGCTGAGTCCCCTCCCCTGTGGGCTCCACCGCCCGGGGCCTGCAGGCACTGGGCGTTCACAGGCCAAATTCTGAGCACTTTCCTCATTGACAATTTAGAGAATAGCTAGTTGAAACTCGGGACGAGAGGCTGGTAGTGTAAACTAGAAGATAGACGAGGCGATGTCCTAAGTCGTGGTGATGGGAACTGAGAGAAGGGCGGGACTGAAGGTGTTAGAAAGGGTGACTGGAGATGCAGCAAGCATGGGGCAGTGGCGGGGCACTGGCTGCCCCCACAGACTGTTTTGAGAACTGTGCCTGACGTTTTTGTTGTAAAATGTAGATAAGAGCCCACCTCATAGGGCCGAATGTCCCCTGTCCTCTCTGAGTCCTGCCTTCAGCAGCGGAAGGCCCCTTTTTCTGGATCTCGTTGTGGTACTTGCTGTGGGTCTACCTTCACTGTCCTGCTAGGCTCTTGGTTCCGTGGAGCCGGGGGCTGGTTCTCATACCTCTGTCTCACGGCGCAGCGGCGTCTACGGTGCCTGCTCTAGGTGGGTCCAGGCGGAGGCCCGGACATTCTTATATCAAAGAGATAAAAAAGATGAGGAGAGTATGATCTTAGTAAACAGATTGTGGTTTTCAGAAAGACAATTTACTGGGGAAATGAACATATTTCATTTGTCTGCCTGCCTCGTGACCTTCTTAGGTATCATAGATCTTACCTCCTGATGAAAATTCCAAAAAGAAATCCGTTTACATGCTTGAAAACACATGCATTGTAATCTGCTTGTGGCAGCTACTGCTTGCAGTGCGTTGATTATCCGCAGTGATGGGTAGCAGGCTGCTCCTTTGACAGCTGCCTTCTCGTGTAATGATGAGTTTTGCTCTCTGGACCAGTTCAGGGGCTGCCCTTTTCCAGACCCTCTGCCTCTGGTGTGCTTATAGCTGCTCTTCCCGCACCCACCATCCATGTGGTGAATTCCTTCTCCTCCTCTGAGATTCAGCTCTCCCCTGACATTTTCCCTATTCCCACCTCCCAACTCCCACCTCTGTGCAGAGAGATACCTTCTCTGTCTTCTTTTAACACTCTCTATACTTGTCATGTCTTGTTTGTCAGGAGACTGTGCATGATTTCAGAGCAGGTACTGTGTATCTAAAGAGCTCACATTCTACTGGGGGAGCTAGATAAGAAAAATAGCCAGGGTCACGCCGCGTGACATACATCTACGTGAATAGAAGCATACAGATAATTTATGACAGAGGAATGCACACAGCTTATGAACACACCGAGGACTCCAAATTAGGAGGAGGGCTGATGCGGCTATCGGAGATGGTGGTGGTACGTGCGTCCTGGAGTCTGGCTAGATGTCACTGCAACCGACTAGGGGCTGGTGTTCCATGTGGAAGTGTGGCCGTGTAGATTGTTCCCTCCTGGGAACTCCGGTCAGTGCATTCGCGGGCGGGGCTGGAGATGAGGCTGGTGGGATGGGCAGGAGTCCAGTGGTGAAATGAGGTGTCGAATGCCTTGCGAAGACTCAGAACTGACATGGTGAGCTAGGTCAGCATGGCAGACAGCCTGAAGGGCCAGGCAGGGACTGGACGGTGAAATCATGGATTTGCAAGGTGTGGATAATAGCCCTTTGGGCTTGGATTGGAGCCCGTGCACTGGAGGAAGGAAGGTCGTCCTTTCCTCCCTGATTGCTGGACATTTACAGACTTTCCAAATGTCTGTTTAAGGTTCCTCATCAGATAAATCTGGAACTTTTATGAACTGATGTTTTCCTTTAAAAAAGAAAAAAAACAGGAGGTCAAACGGATAAATACTTCACATCCTATGTCTATGCAGTCACAAATTATAGTTTTTCATTAGTTACTGTGGCTCAACTATGTGTCTACCAGACACTCTTGAAACATAGGCATTTTTTTTTAAGATTTATTTTTATTTATACAAGAACTGGGGTACAGGCCAGAGGCATGGGAAGGTGAGAGGATTCACCAGAGACAGAGTGGGGAACAGAACAGACAGGCGGACCCAAGACACTGCTGAGGGGAGCAGTAGGCAAGGCAGGAGAGGTCTGCCGCGCCATGTGGGAATCTCCCTGGCCGGCCAGGAATCGAACCCGCACTGTAGAGGCTGTGGACAGCTTCACAGCACTGTGTTCAACCTGCTGTGCCACCGGGGAGGCCCGGAACGTAGACATTTTGGTAGCTGAAAGAAGAAAGGTCGGTTACATTACAATTTCCTGACCTGCCTGATAATCGCTCTCTTCAGACCATCTCAGCTAAAACAAATAGGGTGATTTTCAACTCATAACCTAATGATTTCTTACATTATGGAAACATAAGTCTTGTCAATTTCCTTTTTGAAAGAAGTGTGTTAGCACTGTCTTTCCAAAATCTTTCCTGATTCGCTTGAACTCGTGCATTGATCACTTCTGCTCTCTCCCCTTTGCTCACTGCTCTCTCCCCTTCCTGGACTTATCTGCTTTGTGGGGTCTTGGTCACTTACTGACTTGCATGTCCCCAGTGCTTGAGCCAGCATCCAGCCTCTGGAGCTGTCCTTGTGTTCCAGCAGCCTCCTCGTCACCAGCCTTCTCTGTTGCTCTCCCTATGAGAAGGGGGATGCTCCATGTACTTGGATTTTCTCGCTTCATTCTCCTAACAAACCTATGAGTAAGGGCTCTATGCCCCATGGGGGCGGGGGGTGTTTATTGTTTTTTTAAGTGGAAAAAAAAGCAATGCAGGCGACTTCCTCTGGCTGAGCTCAGATCTCCACGTCAGAGCAAG